AAGTCATATTCTCACTGATCATTCTTAGTTAAATAAGTCCTAGAAAAAAAATAAATTGCATCATCAGCTTAAATATTTATTCTCTATTCTCCCTTATAATTTCCATATCCCAACGCCAACTTGTTTAACTATTAAATGCACATACTCTACTTAGGATAAGAAACGTTAGCTGTAAACTGTTTTTTCCTGATGAGCTACATGTGATGCCTTAGTTATTAATAGTAATAGTGTTACTATTTCTTTTTTTTACTGTTGACACTGATACAGATGTCCCCCATTCTCCCCACCTTTGCCCACTTCCACCCAGTCCCCTCCCACTCCCTCTGGCCTTCCCCACACCATTGTCTGTGCCCATGGGCCATGCATATGTTCTTTGGCTAATCTCTTCACCTTATTCCACCCAGTCCCCCCTACCTCCCTCCTCTCTGGCAGCTGTCAGTCTATTCCATGAATCCATCCTTCTGGTTCTATATTGTTCATCAGTTTACTTTGTTCATCAGATATAAATGAGATCATACGGTATTTGTCTTTCTGTGCCTGGCTTATTTCACTTAGCATAATATTCTCCAGGTCCTTCCATACTGTCCCAAAGGGTAAGAGATCCTTCTTTTTTACAGCTGCGTAGTATTCATGGTGTAAATGCCCCACAGCTTTTTCATCTGCTCTCCTACTGATGGGCATTTGGGCTGCTTCCAGATCTTGGCTATTGTAAATAATACTGCTATGAACATAGAAAGGGAAGGGGTGGGAAAATGTGATGGGACTAAGGGAAGTACACTAGGGGAAACTTAGCAAGGCCTGTTAGTTCAAAGTCAAAAGGTGTGAACACTTGGATTAAGTAAAATGTTGGTCATCTAGTTATCTAAGGTGACAATAATATTTTAAAGGCAAATATAGGAGTTACATGGCTGTGAACAGAACCCTTTTGATATTAAGATTAGGTTTTCTCTAACTAAAAGATCTGATAAAGACAACAGAAAGCACAGGAAGTTATTTTGATAAAGCACAGAATCCTAAGTGAATTACTTAAAAGGTAACTGGCTACCTGCACACCCCAGCAGGTAACAATCCAAGCCAAGCTCTCAGGGCACAAAATGAAACAAACACGAAAGCAATAGCTGCCCCTGGGATGGAAAGGATCCAAACCAGTGGGCACTCGAACTAATTTCACAAGGGTCACAATCCAAACAACTAATTCTTGTAAATGTTTTTTTCCTGCTAAACTGAACTTGGAAAGGAATGGGCAAAGAGAAATGTTTACCTTCTTCTCTCGACTAAGCACTAAGACAGAGATTCACAAAACTAGTATGATGAAAGCTCTTACCTTGCACCCGCTTTTTGTCAGGAGACCCAGACTTCAGCTGCAGTCTCCAAGGAGAGTGGAGTATCCCAGCCTTCAGCGTCCCGTCCTCGCCACCAGAAACTGTAGGGGAGGAAAATACATATATATTTCCCTCCTACCCTTGTTTACTAGCTGGAGCTTCATAACAAAAGATAGACTGACAATAGAAAAGCGTATAACTTCATTTCGTATAAGTTTTATGTGACATAGAAGCCTTCGTAGGAAAATGAAGAGCTGAATAAGTGGTTAAACCTGAGAGTTTTTGTGCTAGTTTAATGAAAAGTGGGACATCATGGGAAAATATGATAAGACAAAGGGGTATGAGCTAAGGGTAGGAAGCTGGTGGAAACCTAGCAAGGCTTCTTCATTCAAATTCCTCTAGCGTCTTCAGACATGAGGATGCTCCATTTCTCTGGGTATAGGGAAGACGCCTCTTACATGAGGGTTTTATGACTTGCTCCAGGGCAGGGGGGTCAGAGGGTCCTTTCTGCACCGGCCATTTCTCAAATCCTCCCTGCTTAAAATAGTCAATATGCCCAGGTGCCATATGTGGGGAAAGTGTGTCCTGACCCCATCAACTACAACTAACTCAGTAGTAGGAGAAAGATCTTCTTTCTAATTTAACGTGTGTATGTGTTTATATGTGTGGAAGAGAAATTCAAGAAACACGTATTATATATTTCAGGAATTCATACATTGGGAAAGGAAATAAATAGTATTTTATATAACCCAAAGTCTATTAAATTGCACTTAGATGCTATTTCTGTTCCAAGTCAAACATCTTAGAAACCATTACTCTAATTTTATTTTAAATTAAATGTTATTTAGTTTTGAACATAGAATAAACCCATACATTTTCGGCCAAGGTAAGCTGTAAATTAGGTCCACATTACCTACAAGCACTGTGTGCAATCTTACAATGAGCATGCCCCGAGATCCATGCCCTAGGACATGCTCTTTATAGACTCTCTCTGAGCTTAAGAAACTCAATCCCTTTGGGTGATACCCAACAGGTGTTTAGCTTATCCTTTGTTTTCCTTTGTCATGGCCCAATTTTTCTTGGAGATTTTAGTACAACAACTTGTTATTCTCATATTTTTGTAACTTCATAATCTTGGGTCTGGACCAACAGGCTTTTAATCAATCCAATTAAGGGAATGTAAGCGTGAGACCTCTGAGGAAGGGGAGGTAATTTGCAGGACCTGCACTTCTGAAATCATATTAAGGCAACATTGGGCTTCGTGCTGAAACACCAAGGTTTGCAAAGGGCTGACAGCCTCCACTTTTGTCATTCACATCACTCCCTGCCCTCCAAGTTAATAGGTCCTTTTATTTATTTATTTATTTTTATTTAAGTATAGTTGATATACAACATTATATTGGTTATAATAATTTCAGGCGTACAATAAAGTGATTCAACAGTTTTATACCTTACACTGTGATCACCCCACTAATTCTAGTAATCATCTGTCACCGTGCAAACTTATCGCAATATTATTGGCCATATTATTGAATAGGTCCTTTTATTAACTAATTTGGGCCTGCTGAGGCTTTGATTTGGTAAGTTACAGATATAATTCTTAATAAGCAGATATGATATACCAAGTAAAGGAACGGCTATAAGTAGGCCTTTAGTAATGCGGTGGCAAGGTGTCAGGGAGGGGAAGTCTTCTATTGTCCTGTGTTTAGGTCTTAGTCATTTAGCGAGCCTGTGCCTCTAAACTGTGAGCTTCACAAGTGTTTCTCGGTTCCTTCCCCTCCCCTCTGTAGGACGGGATGGCTACACTGGGCTGGAGTTGGGTGTTTCCCTTCCCCAGGTCAGCTAGGCTCGGGTTAACTAGTTTCCCCTGAGGGCCGGCCTTGCTAAGTAGGAACAGCGTGATCTGCATATTTCCAAATACTTCCTTTTCCCCTCTTTGCCAGAAGCACAAGGGGGATTTTTCTCTGATATTTACTCTTAGAACCTGGTCAAGATAATAGAGGGAAATCTCACAAAATTGTGGAGGTCCCTCTGTGACTGGGTCCCACTGGAGTTTTCAACTCTCAGAATTGGCCTCCAGCAATTCGTAAATCACATTTCAGGTTTTCCTACCCTGGAAACTCAGGGTTTCGCTCATGAGTCTCTGCTCTGAGGAGCCGGACTCCCTGCATCTGGCTGTCTCCCCAGCCATGGGGTCAGCAGTTTGCCCAATGTCTTCCCTCTCTTATGGGTACAAGAAGAGTTGTTGATTTTTCAGTCTGATCAGCTTTTTATGTATTGTTAGGATGGAGGGATGACTTCCAGGGTCCTGACCAGGAAACTGGAAGCTGGAAGTTCTAAATACAGGGGTGGGCAAAAGTAGGTTTACAGCTGTGAGTACACAAAACACGAGCGTTTATTCTGGTATTATTATCAGTTACTGTATTATTTTCCATACATATTTTCCCTGTATATTTTAATCACTGCAAAAATTAGTAGTTCTAAGAATACACAGATCATGGAAACAGACTGTTGAGAAATAACCTTGCAGCCTGGACAGGAAAATACACAATTTCCGTCTAACTCTTCAAATATGGTAATAAATGGACAATGCGCGATTGCCAACATTTAAGTGGCAAAACAGCCCCATGGAGAAGATGGTAGGCGTGATGGGCTGTTCCCTTTTTGCAATATGACTTAGGACGGTAGGTGCACCTTTTCCCACACAGGACTCTATCGAAGCAATTGCTATAGCAAAGAAAGGAAGCAAAAGTGAGCTCCTAGGTGGAGAGACACACTGGAATGCATGAAGGTGTCTCACTATCTATAAGGAAAACAGTCTCAGACTTCTGAAAAGTATCCAAAAAAGCAAAGCGGAAGAAAAGCCACAGCCTTTAAGTTTCCAATGCAACAAAGATGTCACCGTCCTAAGGAGAATTAGCTCTTGTCAGTCATCTGTTTCCAACCTGCAGCAGGTAGATGATTTAATAAGGTAGAAATAGTTGAAGAGACCAGGGCTCAGGCAAAATTTTTTAATCTTTAAGATATATCAAATACTTTTTTAAATCCCCACCTGAGGGTATGTTTTTTTATTGATTTTAGATAGAAGAAGGGAGAGAGAGAGTATGAGGAACATCGATGTGAGAGAGAAACATAGAAACATTGTTTGGTTCCCTCTCATATGCGCCACCACCAGGGATCAAACCCCCAACCTAGGTATGTGCCCTGACTGGGAATCGAACCCTCAACCTTTTGATGACACTCCAGTTCAACTGAACCACCCAGCCAGGGCTCAAATGCTTTTAATTCCTCTTAATATTCTGGTGGCATTCCAAGACATTTTCACTGACAAGTGCATGGTAGGCGTTCTGTAGTCCCAGTAAACTTATGAATGTACTGTGTTGCCCTTTCGCTAACAGACGGAATATCATGTTAGACATGGCACACCAGTTTACTGCTAATTCAAAGGCAAAGTTTGAAGATTTATTTTCTGCATTCGAATCTCACTCTTAATTCCTTTTTGTTGGAGAAAAAAAGTATGTTTGTTTTTTCATTGAGTATTATTTCTGTGGATTATGTATGATGAAATATATATTGTTAAGGAGTATCGTGCTGCTAGTAATGTGTTCTGTAAAATTAAGGTGAATTATTAGAAAATTCCAGTGGTTAAAACTCTAATCCTGTAATTTATTTTTATAGGAAGTTTATAGAGACTCATCTGAAAACCATTCCCAGTCATGCCTTTTCAAATCTGCCCAATATTTCCAGGATGTAAGTTTACAATTGTGACATACTATTTTTTAAATGTGTTCTGTCCAGAAAAATGATCTACATATGCAATGTGTATGAGAATTTTATATACAAAATGCTTATTTGGTTTTGCTACATCTCCATTCCCTAATTCCTAAATGATTTTCTTAAGCTAAAATAAATTTAGCCTGGTCCGTGTGGCTCAGCGGTTGAGCACTGACCTATGATCCAGGCGATCTTGGTTCAATTCCCAGTCAGGGCACGTGCTCAGGATGTGGGCTTAATACCCAGTAGAGGGCGTGCAGAAGGCAGCCGATCAATGACTTTCTCATCATTGATGTTNCACTCCCCCCTCCCTCCCTTCCCTCTGAGATCCCTCAGTCTGTTCCTTGCTTCTGTGTCTCTGGATCTGTTTTGTTCATTAGATTCCATATATGAGTGAGATTATGTGATACTTGTCTTTTTCTGCCNTCTCTCTCCCACTCCCTTCCTCTCTCTGAAGTCAATAAAGAAATATTTTTTTTNATCTGTTTTGTTCATTAGATTCCATATATGAGTGAGATTATGTGATACTTGTCTTTTTCTGCCTGGCTTATTTCGCTTAGCATAATATTCTCCAGTTCCCTCCATGCTGTCCCAAAGGATAAAAGATGTTCTTTTTTACAGCTGCATAGTACTCCATGGTGTGAATGTCCCGCAGTTTTTTTATCTNAAAAAAAAAAATAAATTTAAATTCATTTGGTCTTGAAATTTTAATAATTCTTGACATATTTTAATATGTATCTTGGGATGTGGCAAAATCTTAGCTGGGAATCTCACCCATAAACAGATTTCTCTCTCCATCTATAATTGATCTATCCTAATTACTGAATTTTTTTAAAATTTATCTTTATTGTTGAAAGTATTACAGATGTCCCCTTTTCCCCCCCATTCATCCCCTCCATCCTGTATCCACCTCACCCCCAGGCCTTCCTCATATCAATGTCTGTGTCCATGGGTTATGCTTATAAACATATAAGTTCTTTGATCAATCTCCCCCCACCCACTCCCCCCTCCCTCCCTTCCCTCTGAGATCCCTCAGTCTGTTCCTTGCTTCTGTGTCTCTGGATCTGTTTTGTTCATTAGATTCCATATATGAGTGAGATTATGTGATACTTGTCTTTTTCTGCCTGGCTTATTTCGCTTAGCATAATATTCTCCAGTTCCCTCCATGCTGTCCCAAAGGATAAAAGATGTTCTTTTTTACAGCTGCATAGTACTCCATGGTGTGAATGTCCCGCAGTTTTTTTATCTACTCATCTACTGATGGGCACTTGTGCTGTTTCCAGATCTTAGCTATTGTAAATGTTCTAATTACTAAATCTTGAATCATTTTTTACTACTAGTACAAATGCTTACATATTTGTAGCCAATGATTTCAGATTTCACTATTACCTAATGCAACTAATTTCTAAATATCTCTAGCCCTGAACTGTCCTTAACAGTTCAGGCCTGCATTACAAGCTCCTTCAAATATCATCACCTTATATGATCTGGGAAACCCCTGACAAAAATGTTATATCAAAACAGTGTGTTTGGAGTCCGTGACCCTACTAACGTTTTACTTTGTCTTATATTTTTGTGTTCTTCAGCTACTTATCAATAGATACAACTCTGCAGCGGCTGGAATCACATGCCTTCTACAATCTGAGTAAAATGACGCACATGTAAGTACAATGAACAATGTAGCGTAGACCCGAGCCACCGCCACCCTTGATTGCTAATTTGGGGGTTCCAGATGGCAATGACAGTCCAACTATGGCTGACAGGGAGGTCCTTAGATTACATGGCCATGTAGAAGGGCCCACTGAGCCCAGCGTTCTAGCAATCCCCAAGCATAGAACCCTCCAGAATAACCCAGCTGAATACAATCAGTGATCACCATGGACCCCGCATGGAGCAGAAGAATCACAGGGGTTAGCACTGCCTGCAATCTTAATCCACAAAGTTGAGCTGTAATACAATGGTTGTTATTTTAGCCACATTGTTTGGGGTAGTTTGATAGCCAGGAGAGGTGACAATTATATATCCATTAACAATGTGTAAAAGACATTGAGGACTGGCAAGAGAAAACTGCAAGACTGGCAGGTTTCTTTGTCACTTATTAGGGTCCTAGGTGGATACAAATCAGTTCTCCTGGGTTTTAAACTTCAGCTGGGATACTGTTTGGACCCAAAAGTATACATCAGATAAAGATTTATTCCTGTAAAATGAAACACTTCACTTCCATCTTCTATTTCATTTCCTCTATAAAGAAACCAATAACACATAGGTGGTTGCTGTTGTGGCTCCTAATAGCTACCAATTACTGAACGTCTTTTATGGGCAAGCACTCTGCTGAAAGTGCTTCACCGGTACCATCCCACTTAAACTCACTGAGCCTCAGTTTCCCCCATGTAAAATGAAGATGGTAACACAGGGCTGGCAGAGCTCTTGCCCAAGTTTACTCAGCCAAGAGATTACAGTCAGAATTTGAAACCAAGAGTGTCTGCCTCCAAAACCAATGCAAAACCATAACACCTAGGTATCTTCTGGGCAGTTTGAAAAATCACCTTAATAAAGTTCCATTTCCAGTGGAAAATCTGCTGGTAAACTTACATTTTCCTCAATCTGCCTAAAAAATCTGAACATTTACAAACGATTTGAATTAACATCTATTACTTTTAATTCCCCAATAAATTAGAAGATGCATCGAAATCATGAATATCACCTTTGTGGTTACAGATTACTCCCCCCCAGTTACATAATGAAATGTTAGTGGTAAAATACCTCATTGATTATCAAAGTGGAATAACCAAGATTCCTTTCATTGAAAAGCCTTGATAATGTGGGAGATAACGTACTCTGTGAATTTATAGGCTGTTACTGAAACATGAGTGCGAGTTTAAAAATCAGGACTTTAGAAGCTAAGGATCTAGCATATTCCAAGAACTCTGTCAAATGTTATACTTTTTGACCCAGTAATTTCAAGTCTATAAATTTTCCCTAATAATAAACAGAGTGAGAAAAGTTTACATGAAAAGCCATTTGTCTCAGAGTTAATTTATAACAAAAAATTGGAAACTACTCAAATGCTTGGCAGGAGAATCGTTTAATATGAAACACTGAGCAGCCATTAGAAATCTGTCGTCATAGACTATTTGGTCCCAGAGGAAATGCTTTTGACATAATGCTATTTAAAATATATATACTTAGGAAAAAACACCTGATTTTCTTTGAATCATGGAATGATGGCTGATTTCACATTTTTTTATTTGAATGTGTTTAAAAGTTTTTACAATGTATATGCATTGTCTTTATAGTCTGTTGAAAGAAACTTTTTTAAAAAATTAAAATTTCCTTCAATATGCATTAATCTTGAGGTTGACACTTGATGTTAAAATACATGGGTGATTTATTGTGTAATAAAAGCCTATCATGAAATGACACTTTAAAATTAATTTACCTAATTCTAGTCCCAGTTTTCATCTTGGTGCTGTCCAGCATTTAAAGTATTTAAAGTAACACAGTGATGGCTTGGCCGATTTATACACATCTTCTTTTTAAAGCCATCAGATGAGGAGTGTCTACTTCCCTATATCTCCCGAGCACTCGGTAAAGTTGCACACAATAGATGTCCAACAATTATTCATTTGCTGTTAGTGGCTCTCCCCGCTCTGCTCCCCAGAGCGAGCAGACCTAGTAAAAGTCAGAGTGGCCTGCCTCCCCTTTGTAACCACTGGCACTTACAAAGCAGACTAGGAAAAAATTGAAAACCAAAATAAAGTAAGAGCTAAAAAGAAACTGGGGACCGGCTGAGAGCTGGGTTGTTGGCTAACGGTCTCCTTCGGTTTCTTGTTTTAAATGCCACCTGGCCCACTGCTGCATTTGTATCTCTTTAAAGTGCAGCTGTGCCGACGGGGGCGGCCTGTCTTCCCTGCAGACACGGGGTCCCAGCTCGGTCTCCCTGCCCTGAGCAAGCCTGAAGCCTGTGGCCGCCCCTGGCCCCACTGCCGCCCGCTGCAGGGTTGCCCCAATTCCTCTCCCGGCCCGGGGTGTCCAGGGGGCGGCAACTCTCTCCGCCTGAGCCCGGCAGTCAAACGCCCTGATCAGATGCTGTTGGGTTACAGCGGGAAGGGGCCGCAGGACAGTGGGAGGAAACGGGTAGTTGGAAAGTTCCTTCATTAGAAGGGTTTTAAGGCTCCATCTCCCCTCTTTTGCCCCCGTCCCCCCAGCCTGAGAACTCCCTCCTCTCACCGCGCTGGTTTCCCGTGTTCTTTGGGTTTGGGCTGGGCTGCTGTGTCCATCACAGCGCCAGTTGTCTTGAAGAAGCCAGTTTCTCTGTCCTGGGCTCTTGTTGAGACTTAAATGTCTCTCAGAAAAAGAAAACAACAAACGGAATCCAGGCATATGGCTAAGTGAGCCCAACGTGTGCGAAATTATTAACCTGCGGGTTTGTGAAAACACCGCACAGGCCATCAAAGTCACACTTTTTATCTAAATGTCCATTTTATTTGAAATCTAATGAAGGGAAATTCAGCAATGATGAATATTTAAATTTCTTCTTAGTTCTGGTGGGTGATTTCTTTTAGACATTACTTTTTTTTTTTTTAAGCTGAACTTGGAGTTAGAAGTCCTAGACCAAGACCCGGGGTTGCCTCTGTTTAACGGGAGAGCAGGCACCCACCTCTCTAAACGTGTCTCCACTGTTATTGCCTCCTTTACTCTTCCAAGGCTGGGCTTTTCTAATCAATGAGCTTCGAGACCCTCAAATATCCCCCTGACGCAGCCGAATCGCCCCCCTCCATAGAAGAGCACACTCAAGATGGGAGCGGACGGCCTGCCCCGCGTGTTTAAAAGCAATCTTGATGCAGACTATCTATTGCTTTGCTTTGTTGTTGTTTTTAACTTGAGGATTTTTGCGTACCTTTTATTACATTTGTTTCTTCTTCTGAACAAGGTAAAATAAAACGTGAAAAATCACACACTCCTAGTCTCCAAACCTACCTACCAGAGGTGACCACTATCAACAGCGTGCTCTGTATTTTAAGAATTGTATCAACGCTTATTGTATTGGTTTCGGTAGGCTCATAACTATAAGAAACAGGCAAACGTAAAAACATGGGGCAGCCCCAGGGTAACTGAAGTTTGTTTCTTGCTCGTGGGACAGTACTGGTGGAATGAGAAGGTGGGCGGGGCAGCCACCCAGGGATCCCGACGGCCCATCCAGAGGCCCCCCCACCGTCAGCGTCTGTTCACACCTACTGCGGAGGACACCTCCACTCCCGCCCGCTGTGGCCCGGGTACATGAGGCTGTCTTTCCCTCGGTGACCGGGGCCTCCTGGCAGCACAGCTGCCCTCCTGGGCACGTGGGCCACAGTTGCTTACCTCAGGATCGTGTGGTTCCAATTCAGCCTCCCAGGCATGCTTGGAACCCATCAGACGTGGACCCCTCTCCCACCCTCGCCCGTGCCCAGGGGTCCCGTGGTTCCCTGCTCCTCCTTGCTTGCTTTCTTGGAAGCGGTTACACCAGCTGCATCCACCCCTGACACTGTCTCCATTCAGCTAAACTAGACAGTCCACCCCCCCCCCTTGCTTCAGAAGAGATTTTATTATAGGTTTAACGTACAAGGTGTCCATTTGATACACTTACATATAACACCTCCCTCCTGTCACATAATTACCATTGCTTTTTTCTGAGAAAATTTAACATCCCTCTTAGCAACTTCCAAGCGCATGATACAGGATCATTAGCTGTAGTCACCACGCTGTACATTAGAGCCCTAGAATTTGTTAACCTTGTAATTGGAAGTTTGCTCCCTTCAATCAATATCTCCCCACCCCCCACCCCAGCCTCTTGTAAGCACCACTCTGCTCTCTATTTCTCTGAGTTCAGCTTTTTTAGATCCACATACAAGTGATATCATACAGAGTTTATCTTTCTCTCAGCATAGATTTTTTTTTTAAGTCACTTGTGAGCAAGTGTTGAGCTGATTTGCCTTCTTACCTCAGAGAGCGGCTTCCTCGCCCTGGTGCTGTCCTGTGGTCTCTCTTGTTCCTTTCCTTGAACTCACGTTTCCCCGCAGAAACCACCTTCTCTGGCGTGTCCCCCTCCTCTCCCACCTCCTTCTCCGCTCACGGCAGCCGTGTCCGCTGCAGCCTCGTGTCATCAGCCGTAACCCCGGCAGAGCCTTGCCTGCCCCGCTCGGTACGGTGACGCTGACTCAGGTGGCTGCCGCTCCTGTCACTGTGACATTCCCCTGGGTCACTCGCTCAAGTCTGCTGAATCATTGACGGGGCTTTCAAGAGGTTCCCATAATGAACCATAAAGTTATTTGCCCGGGGAAAAGTTACGGTAATGAAGACAATGGGCCCATAAATTTATATTCATATAGACAGTAAACCGAGGCGGGGGAAGGGGTAGGTGGCTTCTGTTCTCAGAGTTAATTCCATTCTCTCTTCAGCTTCATACTCAAGATCCTTAGTCAAATTCCAAACCCAGTGTTTTGTTCTTTACATTTTGTACAAACATTGCGGCACCTCCAACCCGAGGTCTTGGTGTCTGCTCTGGCTTTCATTCTACGTAAGAAAATAACAATAATAAAATGACGGTTTATAGAGCCCTCAGTGCGTGCCAGGCCACACGACAAATTCCCTCTGGGCATTATTCGGCCCTAACAAGGGTCTGATGAGACAGGGGCTGTTATTGCCCCTATTTACACAGGAGGAAACATGGCTCACGAAGGTCAAGGAACCTGCCCCCGGTCGTGCAGCCAGCAGTGGCAGAGCCAAGATTCGCTCTCAGGTCCCTCTGACTATTCCGCAATAGAAAGGAGAGAACTACCGACACAGGCCACGCGGGGATGAACCTCGCAGACATTAAGCTAAAGGAAAGAAGCCGGGCATAGGAGGCCACATATCTGTGACTCTGCTGATATGAGATGGCCAGAGACAGCAACTGTGTAGAGCTAGGAAGCAGAGTCGTGGATCCCAGGCCCGGCACAGGGGGTGGGAGTTAACTGCAAGCGGGCTCCTCCACGCTCTTCACGCGAGCTCGGGGAGTGAGCAGTCTCCATAGGCTGACCACATTTAAGGCCGCCGGCGAGAGCCTGTTTGCAGCAACCGCTGACCGCACCGACGCTGACTGCCTTGATTAGCACGCATAGCAACCCGACCACGCACGGTACAGGCCCCCGCGATCCCCGCCACACGTGCCCAAGAGCCTTAAGCGACGGCCACAGGAAAACAAGCCCAGGGGCACTGTGGAGACGCAACATCCCCTCCCCCGAAACGGCCGTTGGCAGAGAGCTCGCTGCCCTCTTTCCTTGCTGCCCGGCCGCTCCGCTCGGCCTCCCTCCGGGCCGGACGCCTGCTCCTGCTGGTGACCAGCACTGCCCTCTGCAGCCCCTGAAGGGCTTTTCCTCCTGTTCACACCCACGGGCAGTTAAGAGAAAGGTTGCCCATAAATCCGAACGGGCGGAACTAAGCGGCGTGAGGGGGTTGAGCCCCGATTGTGTCCCTTCATTGAGGAGCCAGGAGCCCTTTGCTGGGACTGAGCCCCGGCAGGGACCGTCTGGGGGTGCCCTTCAATGTGTATTCTTCTGATGTTAAACCTGATTTATGTGGTTCTACCTTCGATAAGAACAGAAACGGGCGCGTTACGGCGAATGTGCTCCTTGTCGTTTTTATAGAGAGATTCGGAATACCAGGAGCTTGACCTACATCGACCCCGGAGCCCTGCGGGAGCTGCCCCTGCTGAAGTTCCTGTACGTATCCACCCCACTCCCACCCCATGTTTAATTTTTTCTATAGAATTATAATGTTATTGTCCACAGGACTCTCCCTAGGGTGATGTGGGCCTGGGCCATTTGAGTGGTGTCGGTCCCGGGGCAAATCGTATCCTGTGACGTATTCCCCACCCGTTCCCATCAGCAAGGCGTCAGGGGAAATGACCCACATTTAGGAAAACCTTTCACAGGTCAGCACGTACGCTGGGGCCAGAGACCTGCCCCAAGAGACATGACGGAGAAAGTGCCATCAGTTTTATATATAGTCCTTCAGTGGAGTATAACCGAAGGGAAAAACCTCTGAGAGCCCACTGGCCAATTTTATTAGAAAATGGGCATCAAAACAATAGTCAAGTGGCTGCTACACAGCAAAAATTAAAAAGCCATAAAGGGTAAATCCAGTCTCTCGGAGGTCGAGGGGACAAAAATGGAAGGGACAGCACTCACTGTTTGGCTTTGGTCATGTCCCTGTGAGAGCAGGAGCCCCGTTTTGGCTGCGGAGCACAGAGCAGGTGCTCAACAACAACGCGTTCCCCGGGCGTGTGTGTGGCCTCAGGTCCTCCAGGCTCCCGCTGGGGGAACCCCCCTCATTTTCCCTCTTCCCTGCTCACAGGCACTGGAAAAAATAATTATGAGAAAAAAGTAAAAATCAACCTTAACCCCAATGCCCATCCCCCCCAAAACAATCACTATTAACATAGCTCGTGTCCACCTAGGGGCTTTAAATAAAAGCATCTAGCCATACATATTTGACGAGTGTAGTCTTTAAGGATAGACGTCGTCCAGGTAAAGAAGGGGTTGAGCTAGAAGGGAAATACAGTGGGTGGGAAGGCATGGGGAAGACACAGAGGTGTGGGGCCACAGGGCCTACGGGGGGAACTCAGAACAGCTCAGTACTGACGAGGCGGGAGCGGGAGATGCTGGAAGAATAGCAAAGGGTATTGATGGGTTATGTGGCTGAGGGGCGTCTGAGGAGCGACAGAAACGTATGGGACGAGGCAGTCACCCCTGTAGGGACTTGGTGTTTCCATCAATCAATCACCTTTGATAGGATGACCCCTGCTATGTGCGTGCGAGGCTCTGTGGGGCACACAGAGGATGGGAAACGTTGCCCTGGCCTTCAAGGAGCTTACAGTCCAACTGGGGAAGATACTGTATGTGAAACTGAGAAGTTCCCCCCGCCCAAGAAAATAATGGCAAGCGGGAAATGAGAGGTGCATACATTATTTGGGGGTACAGGTAATTAGAGGAGACATCAAAAAGGAGATGGGCTTGTCTAGGGTTCTGAAGAATAAAGCGGCCCTGACCCAAGTCCCGGATCTGGCACTTTGGCACTTTCCTGTGTGTCCCCCGCTCGAACCCTGGGCCCTTTCCCCCTGCTCTTCCACATGAGCCACTATCGCAGTTGGACTGCTTGTTTCCTGTTCCTCAGATAGGCCTCGTGGAATCTCACGTCTCTCCTCGGCCACCCGCAGTGCCCCACCTGCTCTCCCTGAGACCCCTGGCTCCTGCCTCCTCTTCAAACCCTGCGTCTTCCCCTCTCGGGGGAGTCGGGTCAGAACACAGCTTAGAAGGCACCGCAGTGGGAGCGGAGTTTCTCCGCTGGAAGACTTTCCTTGAAGCTTCACCGTAGGGTCNCTCCTGCCTCCTCTTCAAACCCTGCGTCTTCCCCTCTCGGGGGAGTCGGGTCAGAACGCAGCTTAGAAGGCACCGCAGAGGGAGCGGAGTTTCTCCGCTGGAAGACTCTCCTTGAAGCTTCACCGTAGGGTGTAGGCCTCGCCCCGTCTGTTTCCACTCCCTGCATCCTCGTAGCTGCGACAGATGTGAAATCCGGGAGGCATCCAGAGCCTGCGAGTTTTCGTATCCGTGCTGTTCATGCACATCTTTTAATTTTGACGCTTGGCCCTGATGACACAAACTTCGGAAAGTGCCGACGTCTCCGACTGCCGGATGCAGTTCCTCCCTTGGCTGGATGCAGTTGTCAGATGGCCCTGTGGCCACGGTACTCCCCGCGGCGGCCCTGGGAAACCGTTCTTGGCAGGATAATGAATGCGATGTCGTGTAGGGTTTGACAGAGGCTCGGCTTGGGTATTATATCATCTTCCTGCGCCACCCTCACCTTGCTGCATTGCCCCAGAGACGCACGGGCACACCCACAATGTCCTCCAATTAAAACAAGGCGATCAGCCCAGCCGGCGTGGCTCAGCGCTTGAGCGTCGGCCTGGGATCCAGGAGATCGGGGTTCGAGTCCCGGTCGGGGCACATGCCCGGGCTGCGGGCTGCAGCCGATCAATGACTCTCATCATTGATGTTTCTCTCTCTCTCCCTTCCCCTCTCTGAAATCAATAAAGACATATTTTTTAAAAAAAATTTTTTTTAAATAAANTTTCTCTCTCTCTCCCTTCCCCTCTCTGAAATCAATAAAGACATATTTTGAAAAAGTTTTTAAAAAAAAAAAATAAGTAAAACAAGGAAATCACGCTCACACACAGAGAGAAACCTGAATTCCCTTTCCTAAGATTCTTACTTGGCTCAGACAATCCCCGTATTTTTCTAAAAAGAGCACGTTCTGGTGCTGGCAGACTGGATGGGACTCTTGCCCCTTGAGGGAACATCGCCTCGCCCAAGGATCAGAACTTGCCCGCGGCCGCTCAGGTGTTCAGTGGAGGAGCCGGACTTGGTTCCAGTCTGACCTCAGAACCCAGGCTTTCAGCTATTACTTTATTCAGCTTCCTACATGTTCATTTTCTTAGCTAATTTCTGTTTCTTCCTTTTCATTACTTTAGTGGCATTTTCAACACTGGGCTTAAAATATTCCCTGACCTGACCACAGTGTACTCCACTGATGTGTTCTTCATACTGTAAGTAAGCGCGGGCGATGCTGGGCACGAGGCCTTTGTCACTGGCGAGGGGTCGAGACAGCCATCGGTGTTGCTCGAGGCCAAGGAGAGCAGTTGTTTCGAGAAGGAAGCAGCGACCAGCTGTGGCAAATGCACTGAGGAGGGGTGGGAAGGACTGAGGAGGGCCACTGCGCCCAGGGAGGTGGGGCATGTGATCCTCACAAGGGTGGAGCAGTCTGCTTAGCGTGGGCTAGAGGGAGAATCAGAGAGACTGGTCATAGCAAACTCCTTGGGGAGGTTTTACTGTTAAAAGGGAGCAGAAACTGTCGTAGCAGTTGGTGGGTATTGGGTCGGGAGAAAAGTTTTGTCGTGGTTCTTTTTAATGGAGAAATTATGGCATGTTTGCTGATAGGAATGGTTAAATGGAAGAAAACTTTGATGATGATGATGACACTTTATATTTCACCTAGTGTTTAAATACTTCTTACACACTTTCCAGTACATCCAGGCTTTTCCCCTTACCTGCCTCGTTAAGTCACAAAAGGAAGTTACAGTTTTTCTGTTCTACAAATGAGGAAACTGAGGAACAGAAACCCAAAGTGATTTTGTCTGAGCGGAGTCCCCAGGAGCAGCCACTAATGGTGCTCAAAGTACTGCCTGTGACTCCTGCTCGGCCACATGCTCTTGACCAAAACCTGCAACACGCTCAAGCGTCTTAGCTAGTTGTACAGGAGTGATAGGGCGGGAGCGTGCAGAGAGTTACAGGTGAGTTTGCACTACAGAGGGAGCAAAATGTGGAGCGACGGGATCCAGACTGTCGGAATTTTGCTAGAAAAAAAACGACCATGCTTCCTCGCCACGGAAGAGCTCAGTTCAAAATCCAGGCCGCCACTAGGTTGGCACAGACACGCCTTCTGGGGCAGCAGCCTGGCAGCGTATTCCAAGTGAAGAACACGTTAGTAATATTCATGAAATGAACTCCATTGATCCCATTCCACCGACTCTTTTTAGACGTCCCATATACTTAGAAAACTCTAGTTGCTGTGGGCAAAGCACCTGTCACAGCTTCTCATGAAGCCTCTGAGACGCACCAGCTCCCCATGCAGAGAAGGAGCACCCCAGGGCCTCAGCCAAACCCAAAGCTCCCTCACTGACTGTACCTGTGGGGCTCTGAGTGCATGTCTGTCTGTCTGTCTAGGATAGCTCTCGTCATCTCACTCCACCTCTGAGCCACCAGCCTCTCAGTCAATGAAACTTAAAAGAAATAAGAGTAAGCTAAATTGTGTCTGGTTGTTTATTTAACTGCAGATGCGCAGCAAGAGCCTAACTCCAAAAAAGAAAAAGAAAAGCATTGTTTTCACCAAGTGTTTTTGTCCCTCTCTTGCAGGGAAATTACAGACAACCCCTACATGACTTCCATCCCTGCCAATGCTTTCCAGGGACTGTGCAATGAAACCTTGACACTGTGAGTATCGTTATGACTTTTCCTTTCTACAAATGCCAACAACTGAATTTTGATATGAAAGTCATCATAGTTTCACAGCCCCTCTAAGAACCACACTACCTTATAGTAAGTGCTGTATGGTCTACCAAGGGCTTCACATAATTAAATAAAGAGTATTGCCTATGGTATGGTACTCTATAGGCGACAAAAAGGTCTAGGTAACAAGACATCAGTATTCCCTTGTAGAAGTAGCCCGCACACTTTAACTGTAAAGGGCCACTTAGGTTTTGGAGTCCACCTGGCCTTAGTGGCAACTGCTAAATGCTGCCATTTGAGCCATGCACAATATATAAACTGTATAAACACAGCCATGCACAATATATAAACTGTATAAACACAGCCATGCACAATATATAAACTAGTGAGCATGGCTATGTTCCAATAAAGTTTTACTTAAAGAACAGGCAGTGGGCCAGGTTTGGCCTGCAGACCTTATAATATTCTGTATTCTGGTATCTTCGAATGTATAATTCTCACATCTTCATAAACTCTAGTTCACACAAAATATTAACCATCAGTGCTTTCTCAGCCTCTATGCCCAGTGTCCCTGTGTGCGGCCGTCTTCACTTAGGACCCCTTAGTAGCTGGAATTAAACTCCTTGTGTAATTATTTAAAACAAGCAAAGATTATTCTTAGTTATATGCGTAGGATCAATCNTAGCTGGAATTAAACTCCTTGTGTAATTATTTAAAACAAGCAAAGATTATTCTTAGTTATACGCGTAGGATCAATCCAAGCTTTCAGGGTACTCATTTAACATGGTCGTCTCATAAGTGTTTCTCGCTGTGTTAAACATGTAACTATTTCATCGTCCCAGCAGCCTTTTGATTGGTACTTTTACAGATAAGGAAAGTAGGGATAATAGAGGTTGAGAAACTCTCAGGGTCACCTACTGTGAAGTCAGAGCGAGATGTAATTCCAAATCTGGAGTCTCTTTTTCTGCTTCCTAATGTGTTCCCAGAGTGTACAGGTGACGGACCACGATAGTGTCCCAGACCCCCCCAGTCGCCACGAGCTGTGCCTCACTGTGGTCATGGCTGCCTTCTCTTACCTCAAGCCAGTATCCCCAGTCACCCCCAAGCATCCCATTGTGGACCAGAGTTCCCACGGCTGGGGCGCCTTCAGCACAAAAGGTGTGGGTTTGGTGAGTGGGAAGAATTGCTTTTGAGGTCAGGGCTCCTGATTCCTGGCAGCTCTGCAGCAACGTGGCTCCGGCAAGTCACCTCCCTGTTGCAGTAATTTAACTAGGAAATAGAAGTGATAACACTTCAGCCCAGCCTCTGGAATCATTGTACAAATTAACTGGTTTAAAAAACATAGCAATAAATTAAAACATTAAAATTTCCACAAAAGGGCATGGCCTATCTACTTTCTTAAATTTGTCTTTAGATTTCAATTTAGTTCAGCCACAACAATTAAGCACTTAATCTATGATAAGCTCTGAGAATAAAAATATAGATAAAATATAAAGGTGAAATAGCATTTTAAACAGAAAAATACAAAGCCTGTGCATTCAGATGAATGATGCCTTTAAAAGGGTTGATCTTAAGAAACTGCAGTGGTTCTTCCATTATTGACATTGGGTTAACTATTAACTGAAACCCCTGTTTTTTTTAATATATATGGAACATTTTTTTAAAGTCATTAACGATGACAAATCTTTGTTCCTCAAAGCTTCTGAGAAATAGCGTCAAGTTATCAGAAGCTAAGTCTAGAGAATGGGAACTCGAACTGAGAAATAGTATTCTACGTCCCAAATGAGATATACTCTGAAGTCCCCTTGTGGGCTCAGATATGACACCTGAGAACCTTCACGCACATTTCTGACACTGAAGTATTGAAGCCCAACCTCAGAAAAGGGCCAGCACCACCTCTAATGGGTCACTAATTTCTCCTCTCTGTTGATTGCAGGAAACTGTACAACAATGGCTTTACTTCAATCCAAAGACATGCTTTCAATGGGACAAAGCTGGATGCTGTGTAAGTCAAGGGTAGCCATGGAAACCACTATCTTCCCCCACACTCCCC